CCTCTTCCCGCTCTGAGGTTGTGCCGTCCCCGTCTTCTGGGAACACTGTTGGCACAGAGGTACCGTGGGAGGTGACGGGCCTCGCACAGGGTTAGAAGTGGTGAACACTGGATGGGCTCTGGATCGGCTCCGGCCCCGGGACGGACCAGCCGGTGTACCTAGGACGGGCTTGGTCTGGGCGCTGAATACCAGCACCCTGGGAAGCCCCTCAGTGCCAGGCAAACTGGGACGGCCGGTCCCCATCCTGTGGGTCAGCTCAGACAGCCACCGTGTCTGCTACAGTCTGAGTGTGTCGGAGAGGCATTGCCCACGGCAGTGCAGGGTGGAGAGGCGAGCTCTTCTGGACGGCCCCGCTCGTGACAGTGGAGCCCTCACGAGTGGCATCAGTGCCCTCAGGGAGGAGCTCCGGGGGGCCCCACGCGGCCCTCCCATCGCGCAGGTGCAGCAACAGGGCGCCCTCTGCGAAGCCTTCCTTACGGAGTCCGCTGGCGCTTGGTCTGGGCCTCGCCAGCCTCCAGGACTGTGAGTGGGGTTTCTGCTGCTGCTCGGCCGCCCAGGCTCAGGCGCTCTGTGGTGGAAGCCTGCACAGATGGCTCAGAGAATCACTGATGCAACGTTAACCCCAAAGACCCCAAAGCATCGCAGGCGAGAGTAGGGACTCAGGGAGAGAGAGGGCTTCCTGGCCTCGGATCTGAGCCCGTCCGACCCCCACGGCGAGCCTGAGTCCCAGGGGAACGTGCCCCACCCTGGGTCAGGGGAGCCGTGCCCCTCCCAGGGGCTTTGAAGCAGGGAACTCACCCAGGACACGGAGAGTGCATCGGTGAGTTCGTCCCAGGGCTGCTGAGCGCCGGTAACCGGGAAACCGTTGGGAGAAGTGTGGGTTTCTTCTGAGTGGACTGATGCGAAGCCATTGTCAGCGACAGTGGGACACACACTGTTCACACCAAAACTGCTTCGGATCTCCGGAAATGTAGCAGAAGCAGCCCGCAAAACTGGCTGATCGCCCGGATGACGACTCTGGGAGATTATACACACAGGCAGGAAAGCCGTCAGCGGGGAGCGGGCCGTTTAGGACCCCGTGAGTGAGGGGAGGCCAGTTTCTCTTTTCCTGCTGTCCTGTGTGGCCGGGGCTCTATGAGACACACTGATGCCGCACAGACCCTCAGGCAGGCCAGCTTCCTCCAGCGGCCTGCACGGGTGGAGTCGGTGCCAGGATGGGATGAGTCTTCCATTGCCAGTGTTGGGTCAGCGGGAAATCTCGGCTGGAAAGCCAGGCCACACCCTGCCCTCCAAGCTAATCCAGACGTGCGTTTCCCAGGCTTGCTCCGGGCAGGCTCCCCACTCTGACACCTTACCTGCTGCATGCAGAGGCCAGGATGCCTTGGTCTAATCTGGGTTCCCTTGCGAGGTTGTCTCCTCACTGTGCCTGCATGATGACACGTGTGCCGTGTGGGCCTTGTGAACATGGCTGGGGCTGCTGGGTGGCATCTGACTCCCTTTTCTGTTGCTGTAACAGAATACTTGAGACGGAGTCATTGTTTAAAATGTATTTGTTTATTATTTCTATTTCTTTAGAAGATAAAGAGACAGAGGCAGACACAGAGAGGTCTCCCATCTGCTGTCTCTCCCCAAATGCCTATAGTAACTGGGCCTGGGCCAGGCTGTAGCTAGGAGCCCAGAACTCATGCAGGTCTCTCACGTGGGTGGCGGGGACCCAAGTACTTGAGCCACTACCTGCTGCCTCCCCAGGTGACAATGAGCAGGTGAGCTGGACCTGGAGGTGGAACTGAGCCTCCAACCACACTCTCCAGTATGGGATGTGGGTGTCCCAAGTGGCCCAGCACCCACATGGATGTTGGGCGATTTATAAAGAACAGAAGTGACGTAGCTCGTGGTTCTGGAGGTTGGAAGCCCAAGATCAGGGGGCTGTACCTGGAAGAGCCTCGGGCTGCCTCGTAGCACCGCTGGAGAATGAAGGGCGAGTGGCCGTGTGTGGGAGACAGAACACCCGGGGTCTCTTGCCGCATCTCGTGCCATCCTGCGGGGATGGCAGTAATCTCTCCAGGACCTGCTCACCTCCTGTGGGTTCCACCACCTCCCAGCACGGCTACACCCGGGCCAGATTTCAACATGAGCTTTGGAGAAGACAAACCATGGTCAAGCCATCGCACTTGGAGGCCTGAGGCGAGGGCAGTCCTGACGGCAGGTGACACAGTGGAGGCTCATTCCATGGTTAGTCCACACAGCCGTGAGGCAGGCGTTTCCTTCCTGGGAACAGAGAGGTGACGTCACCTGCCAGGGTCACACAGCTGGTGAGTGGCATGACCAGCACAAGAACCCACAGCATCTGCCATTGCAGTGTGAGCTCTTAATTATCATCTCCTTGGGATCAAAACTGAGTGACGTCTGTTTTTTTTTTTTTTTTTTAATTTATTTTTTTTATTTGAAAGGCAGAATGACAGAGAGGGAGAGAGAGTTACAGAGAAAGCTCTTCCATCCTCTGGTTCACTTCCCACAGCTAAGGCTGGGTCAGGCCGAAGCTGGGAGCCTGCAGCTCCATCCGGGTCTCCCACAGAGGTGGCAGGTTCCCAAGTCATTGGGCCATTGTCTGCTGCCTCCTAGGCTATTTAACAGGAAATCAGATGGGAAGAGGGGGCCTAACTTGATCCCAGGGACTCCAGGATGGGACATGGGCCTCCTGAGTAGTGGCTTAATGTGCCGCTGGGGGCAACATCCGAATTCGGGTGCATCTTAAATTTTGCTCTGCGCAGAACCCCTTGGGAAGCTGTCGCCAATGCGGATTCAGAGGCGTTGGGTGGGGCCTTGAGCTTGAACCTGCATCTCTGATGCGCTCCCGTGCGCGCTGCCAGGGTTGCTGGTCCTGGGGCACACTCTGAGCAGCAGGGAGCCTGAACAATCCCTGCTGGTCTCCTGAGCCCTGGTGGGGGCCCGCCCCCAGCAGCACCGGCAGCGCCTCCTGGACGGGACCCAGCTGAGCGCTGGCCAGGCCTCTCCGGCAGGCCCTGCAAGGCACCCTTGGTTGCCTGCCCCAACATTTCCACCTGCCAGTTGGCTGGCAGGTGACAGCCGATTGTGACAATTTAGCCAGAGTTCCTGTCCAGACAGGTCTTGAGCTCAGCCAAGGTAAATGCAGCCCTGCTGTCAGAAATGAAGTGCCTGGCGGGCCTCCGGGCGTCAGTGAGAGAGGCAGAAGAGACACTGTCGTGGCAGGCACTTAGGATGGGGCTGGCAGCTCTGCCCGCAACGCCTCACTGGGACAGGTCCAGTGCAATCGTTGTAAAGGCTCCACTCACCAGATGCCCGTGGGGGGATGGGCCCTGTGCACTCAGAGCTTCGTGGTGGTAAACTTGGCCGTATCTTTTCAAGAATCCCATGAGACAGGTGACTGATGAGGGCACTGATGATCATGGAACGGAGCCAGTTCTTGAACTTGAGTCTGTCCGGCTTCCTCTGGGTCTCCCACGTTCCCAGGCACATTAGCAGGGAGCTGGATTGGAAGTGGAGCAGCCAGGACTTGAACCAGTGCCCATAGGGGATGCTGACACTGCAGCCCGGGGCCATTTTCTAGGTTCCATTTTCTAGGAACTTTTGAAATGCCCTGTGTACTGCACCTTACCACCTGTCCAACAGGAGTGGGGTTTAGGCTGTGGGGTAGCCCAGCCCTCAGTCGGTGTCTGAAGCCCATCAGCCTCTGGGGCTCCCCCTTGGTGGGTGTTAGTCCTAGCTTGGCCGGGGCGTCGTCCCGCAGTCTCTGGGGAGCTGTGTGCGGTCCCCTGCGAAGTCTGCCGGCCCCTTGGTCTGGGCCTCGCCAGCCTCCAGGACTGTGAGCGGGGTTTCTGCTGCTGCTCGGCCGCCCAGGCTCAGGCGCTCTGTGGTGGAAGCCTGCACAGGCGGAGGCGGGGCCAGCCTGGGGCTTCACTCTGCTTTAAGCGTGTGTGTGTGTGTGTGTGTGTGTGTGTGTGTGTGTGTGCATGCCTGGGACGGTGTGGAGGGAGGGAGCCAGGCTGCGGCAGGGGGAATGACCGCCCCCCCACCCCTCCCCACTCTTCACTCATCTTCCGCGGGGCGCCGGCCCCCAGGTCCCCAGAGTGTCTCAATTATCAGAAGAGCATCTGCCTCCCAGTGGGTGGGGAGGGCAGGAGCCCGCGTCCCTGCTGGGCCCAGGGCAAGGGCTGGCTGGGCAGCTGGCAGCTTGGCAGGGACGGCACGCTCTGTTCTGCTGCTGCCAGCAGGCTGACCAGTGACCCGCAGCGCCCAGGACTCTGCAGGGGCGGCGGCACCGGCTCTGTGCCTCCCGCAGCCAGGGAATGCGATGCCATCGCCCTTTCTGCCAGCCGTCTCCCGGCCCCCTCCAAACCCTGGCCTGAGTGGGCCTCTGCAGGGGCACCTAGTCCCCAGCCCCTGGGCCAGACTTGTTGATTTTCCCTGCTCAGGCCCACAGTAGTGGCTCAAAAATAAGCTCCCAACGCTTCCTTGCTGCCCAGCCCCCCCTTCTCAACCCAGCTGCCCACAGGCGAGCCCTGCTTTCAGAAGCCCAACCTCTTCCCTCAGACTAGCAACTCACCAAGATCAAGGGCCAGCCTCCACCGTTAGACAGGCACATTCAACAATCCTGGTTTCTTCTCTCAAGGGCATGGACGATGTCTTCCTGTTGGTCAGGGACATCCCCGAAGGTGGCCGCTCTGCGGGGTCCATCCTGCTGTTCCCTTGTGCTCTAAGCCGGGCTCGGCCTTGGGCGTTTGTCTGGGAATAGCTGGGCCAGGCCTGGGCGTGGAGGGTGTGCGTTTGGCTGGGGTTACGGCTAGGGCTAGGACTATGAGCAGTCCCGGGCCCAGCTGAGCCCCAGGGGCTCCCAGGCCTACACCGCCCTCTCTGCCCCAGGTACAGTCTCTCACAGGAAATCTGAGCGGGGAGGTGCCAGGTAGTCCCTGCACGCCTGGCTGCTCATGGCCCCTGGGGTTTGTCTTGGGTGCCGGTAGGAGGACAACCACAGCTACTACGTGTCCCGTCTGTACGGTCCCAGCGAGCCCCGCAGCCGGGAACTGTGGGTAGATGTGGCCCAGGCGAATCGGAGCTACGTGAAGGTCCACAGAGTCCTCTCCAACACCCACCGGCAGGCGTCCGTGAGTGCCCCGGGCCCCCGCGGGAAGCCCCGGGCTGGGAGGCTGCTGCTAGCCCACCCGACCTGGGCAGCGGCCATGGCTGTGGCCTGAGGGCTGCGCTTAGGGGCAGACTCCCCAAGAGATGCCCAGGGGCTTGGCCAGAGTGGGGGTGCCTGCCTGTGGCCCTAGGGACCTGCCTGGGATGTACTTGCCCCCACCGTGTCCAGACAAGCGTGGGGCCGCGCTGACTCCTCCCGTCCCCCGCAGAGAGTTGTCTTGTCCTTCGACTTCCCTTTCTACGGGCATCCTCTGCGGCAGATCACCATAGCAACTGGAGGTGAGGCTGCCCCATGGGGCCTGGGGGAGGGTCGGCGATCTTGGCCTGAACTCTGGGGCCCATTGGAGACAGGATTGGGTGCATGGCTCTGTCGGGAGCCCCATTCTCGAGAGGGAGCTTGGGGGATGTCAGACATCCCCCTCACCTCTGCTGACCCGTGTGTGCATGCATATATGTGTGTGTGTGTGCCGGGCCAGTGTGGGCAGCCCTGGGGTCCCTGTAATTCTGAGTGCATGAATGAGGGAGAGAGGGGGACCAGTGCTGAGAACCTTGGCTCCTGGGAACGGGCTCCCCATTGGTAGGAGGACCCATCAATTCCTGTACACGCCAGCTGCACCTGCCACTTCCCCAGGGACAGGAGGGGTGGGAGAGCCGTCTCTGCTCTGGGTACTTGGCCCCATACGTGCCAGACCAGGGGTCCCAGCCGCCTCCAGCCCCATCGGGACAGGCCCTGCTGCCCTCGGACAAGAGACCCCCAGAAGCAGTTCCCCCGGGGCCATCTCTGGGGACTCGCTGCACCTCTCGCACCCTAGGCTTCATCTTCGTGGGAGATGTGACCCACCGCATGCTCACAGCCACGCAGTACGTGGCCCCCCTGATGGCCAACTTCAACCCCGGCTACTCCGACAATTCCACAGTTGCCTACCTGGACAATGGTGAGATGAGATCTCAGAGTTTAAATCACTCAGCTCCAGCAATCCCTTTGGTCAGGCCCCTTGGAGGGGTCTGAGGCTCAGGGTGGGCAAGGGACTTGCCTGAAGTCCCGAAGCCAGGCAGCTGTTCCACCTTTCTGGGCTCAGTTGACTCATCTGTAAAATGGGCACAAAATGCCTGCTGCCTCCAGGATCTCATGGGATAACATGGCAGTGCCTGGTGCGTAGTGGGGTAACATACGTGGCAGGGTCTGTACTATCCCTTATCCTCACCAGGTGGTTCCTCGAGTACCACCTGTCCCGGGAGAAGTGTTATTTCTCCTCTTTCTCCTTTTTGACTCCAGGGGTCCAGGCGGGCAAACAGGAAGGGTGTGTGTTGGGTAAAAAACCATCAGGTCTGCTGTCCAGCGGCTGACACGGGGTCCTCCACCGCTTGGGGGCCAGGCTGGTGTTTGAGGGGGTGCCCATTTCCTGCTCCCTTAGATTTGCAACCTCAAAGGGAACTGTCCGGTGGCCACTGCGCTGTGGCTGCCTTGGGCGGGGCTCTCCCCGTGCAGCCAGGTCTCCTCCACTCCGCTCTGCAGGGACAGTCTTTGTGGTTCAGTGGGACCACGTCTACCTCCAAGGCCGTGAGGACCGGGGCAGCTTCACCTTCCAGGCAGCCCTGCACCGGGACGGCCGCATTGTCTTCGGCTACAAAGAGGTGAGCGGGCTGGCTGCAGGGCTGGCGGGGGCTTGCCTGCAGCAGGTGTCTGGAGAGAAGCTACGGGGTACCAGGTCCAGGGTTTGGTGCCGAGGGTGCAGCTGGTGACCTGTGGGCCCTGTCCTCTGGGAGCGACAGAAATGATGGGGACTAATGGAGGCTCACCACTGAGACAAGTGCTCCTAAGAGGAGCTACCAGGTGCTGGTCGAGCCTGGCACGGGGCTCTTCGCCTTGCCAGAGACTGGGGCGGAGGGGTAGGGGAACTTCTCTGGGGAAAAGACCTGAAATGTGCAAGATGAATAGGAGGTAAGGAAGCAAAGAGGAGAGTGGGTGTGTTCCAGCAGAGAGGAGGGTGTGCACAAAGGCCCTGTGGCAGGACCGTGCGTGGCTGGAGGGGAAAGTGAGGAGGTGCAGAATTGCTTTAGAAACAAGGCCACTGTAGCTTTGGAGCGGAGAACAGATTGTTGGGGGCCTGGAGGAGTTGCTGGGAGATGATCTGGGGTCAAGACGCCCGCAGCTTAGAGCAGGGAGACGGATTTGAGAGCCACCTAGCAATGACTTAGCCGGATCTGCGGATAGGGGAGGGAGATGAATGAAAGGGTGGGATCGGGATCCAGGCTGACCCCCGGCTGTGGCCTGCGTGGACGTGCGGGAAGCCTTGGTTTTGGATGGGACACCGGCATGGAGATGTCTTTGGGTCCTCCCAGGGCTGACTGAGCAGGCCGGCACCGGGGCTGGGTGGGGAGGGGAAGGCAGGGCTGGCCGGTGTCTTTGGGGTGGACGGAGCTGCTTCTCCCCACCGCAGATCCCTATGTCTGTCCTGGAAATCAGCTCCTCCCAGCACCCCGTGAAAGCGGGCCTGTCAGATGCCTTCATGATCCTCAACCCGGCCCCTGGTGTGCCAGGTGAGTCCCCTCAGTCGGTGGCACCCAGCCAGGTGTGGGGGGGGGGAGACGGCAGGGTCAGGGGAGGAAAGGAGGCGCAACCAGGCCCCGTTTCTTTGGCGCAGCACGAGGAGTGTTTTTTCTGCAAAATCGCCAGTAGGAGGCGCTGCTCTGGTTGGTGAGGGGGAGGGAGGCAGAGTCCCTCTCAGCACCTGCTCCACTTGGAAAACCTCCAAAGACCTTCAAGAGCGGGTTTTGAGTCCTCCCAGGTCACAGCGGCTCCCCACCCCAGCAGATAAAAGGAATATCACAAGGTGTCGGGGCAGGAATCCAGTCCCAGCCAGGCCGCTACCTCTGTCCTTTGGCAAACCACAGCCCCTCTCTAGCCTCACTTGCCTCGTCTGTCAAATGGGGCAGTAGCTAGGGGGGTGCGTCTTCCCCCAGCTCTGCCTCCTCCACTGACAGGGCTAGGCAGACACTAGGCTCAGAGCTGCCGAGCTGTGAGTGCAGCGTTCCACCGGCCGCAGACCCCAGGCGGCTCTGGGGAGGGGCTCCTGTCTGATCTTCTCCTCTGTGCTAGATGGGGCTGGGAACCTTCTGAACTCGACCCTGGCCGTGCCAGGCTGGGAGAAGGGAGGTGCGCGGGAGCCACCAGGACGCCCTCTTGTGGAGGGGCGAGGCAGCACCGCGCTGTGACGGCTGGGGGAGCCGGGATGCTTGCGTGTGTTGGTGGCGTACAGCCAGTACTTGCCTTCTGATCCCCTGCTGTGTACCAGGCCACCGTGGTCTGGGTTTATTTATTCATTTTAAAAGATTTATTTTGTTTATTTGGAAGGCAGAGTTATATATAAAGAGGGAGACACTGTGAGAGAGGTCTACCATCCACTGCTTCACTCCCCAAATGGCTGTAATGGCCAGAGCTGGGCCACGCTGAAGCCAGGAGCCAGGAGCTTTTTCCTGGCTTCCCATGCAGGTGCAGGGGCCCAAGCACTTGGACCATCCTCCACTCCTTTCCCAGGCCATCAGCAGAGAGCTGGATCGGAAGTAGAGCAGTGGGGACTCAAACCGGAGCCCATGTGGGAGGCTGGTGCCACAGGTGGAGGCTTAACCTACTACGCCACAGCGCTGGCCCTGCGGTTTATTTCTTTATCTGTGAAGTGGGCAGAAGAGTGATACTTTGCCTCCCAGAGTTACTATGAAGATGAACGCAATCCTGCATATAGAGGGTTTGGCCCTGTGCCTGCCACGCTGGCCCTGTGGTCCTGTATGAGAATAGCTTCCCGGGGCAGGCAACCAGCCTAGCAGTGAAGATGCCAGTGCAGAGCCCTTATCAGAGTGCCGGGTTCGAGTCTCACCTCCGTTTCGGATTCTAACCCGGCAGTGATGGCTTCCTGCCACCCGCATCAGAGATCTGAATTGAGTTCTGGGCTCCTGGCTTCAGCCCAGCCCAGCCCTGACCACGGTGGGCATTTGGGGAGTGAACCAGTGGATGGAGCGCTCCGTCTGCTGTCTCTGTCTCTCTGCCTCTCAAATTACAATAAACAAAAAGCAAAAGTTCTTCCCATGCTATCATTTACAACTCAGAATTTTACATTCCAGCGAGACACTGGGAATTGTAGCAAACAGGGCGGGTCTAGGAGCCGGTGACACCCCGACGCTGGTGGGTCACAGGTCAGACGCCACAGCCACGGCGTTGTCCCGTGGCTTCTGTGGCAGTTGGTGTCTTCGCTCGGTGACACAGCCCCCTCCGAGATGACTGATGCTGTCTGGGGATCCAGCCGCGGGGAAGCGGGAGCAGGCCCTGCCCTGCCCTCACCTCTGTGTGATCCTGGGAACAAGGGCCTGCTCCCACCTGAGTTTGGGTGGAAGTGTTCCAGAAATTGCATCCCTGTTGTCTGAGGTTGTGAGCGTGGATGCTCAGGCGTGGACTTCAGGAGGTCCGGGAGCGGAGCCCGTTCCCACGCCCGTGTCTCCCTGGGACAGTAGCCGGGCGGCCTGCGGGGCTGCAGATGGGCCCAGTCCGTCCATGCTTTTGGAGGTGACAGGGACGTTTTTTATTTTTTTTTTTTATTTTTATTTTTTGACAGGCAGAGTGGACAGTGAGAGAGAGAGACAGAGAGAAAGGTCTTCCTTTTGCCGTTGGTTCACCCTCCAATGGCCACCGCAGCCGGTGCGCTGTGGCCGGCGCACCGCGCTGATCCGATGGCAGGAGCCAGGAGCCAGGTGCTTTTCCTGGTCTCCCATGGGGTGCAGGGCCCAAGCACCTGGGCCATCCTCCACTGCACTGGCCACAGCAGAGGGCTGGCCTGGAAGAGGGGCAACCGGGACAGAATCCGGCGCCCCGACCGGGACTAGAACCCGGGGGTGCCGGCGCCGCTAGGCGGAAGATTAGCCTAGTGAGCCGCGGCGCCGGCCCAGACAGGGACGTTTTTAATGCCAGCATCATTTGACGCAGCTAAGCGGTTAGATGGGTCTGATACTCAGCCCAGCAGGTAGGGATTTGTTTGGATTAAGTTGAGCTGCAGATAACAAGAGGCCCCAAATAACCAGGACTTGAACAAGACAGTTCCGGGAGAGCCCCTGGCCCGCAGAGCCTGTAATCTCCACGGATGTCCCCATCTTGCAAGCCAGCTTAGTTGCACAGAGAAGGTGGCGTCACTGTCCTTGTACCCGGCCCCCTCCCCGCCTGGGGTGCTGTGAGGCCTGGAGCCTGGCTCCCCACTGGCAAGGACTTCCCCCAGCTACTGAATCCTGTTGGGGGGTGCACATCTCTCCGAATCCCCTCCCCCCCGCAGCTCCAAAGGCTTCGCCCCCACCCCCACCCACACTCTCAGTTTCCCTCCTGGAGCCGAGGGAAGGGGACTCAGGAGAGCTGGCCTCGCTCTTCCCTGGGCCGGGAGGGGGTCCACAGAGCCGCCTGCCCTGGGTGCACCTGTGAGCAGAGCGCTGGGGCCCTGCACAGCGGTCTCTCTGGCTCCAGGGACAGGCAGAAGTCAGCGCCATTTCCTCTGTCGTTTGCTTGAGTAAGTCTGCACCTCCTGCCCGGCACCAGAGCCACAGCATGAGGAGCGCTGGAGGTCTGGTTAGCGGCTTTATGATGAAGGCTAGAGCCTGCCTTTCTCAGGCCCACTTGAGTCCAGATGGTGCCAGAGGCCTCTGCGTCCTCTGTGTCGGCTGCGGGGCGGAGGTCCCAGTGCCCTGCTGGGGGGCAGCCGTGCTGGGGAGGAGCGGCTCTGCCGTTCCCTGCACCTGCCTGCCCTGAGACAGGACTCTAAAATTGGAGGGTTTGGATCCCCGTGGGGCTTCCCTCGCTTCCTGTTCTGTTTTGCTGCTGCTTTGCTCCCTCTCGCCTTTTCTTCTTCCTCTGCCCTTTTTTCTACCTGGCTTTAATGCTGGGAGCCATCCCCCTGCCTCTGCCTCTGAGCTGAGAGCGCCATGGGGTCCCTCTGGGGCTGCAGATGACTGACTGAATGCGTGACCAAAAGAGCAAAGCAATGAACAAATGCGTGGAGACTGCTCCCCTAGCCATCTTCTGGACTTAAAAAAAAATTTATTTATTTACTTGAAAGGCAGAGTTACACAGAGAGATGTGAGAGAGAGAGAGAGAGAGAGAGAGAGAGAGAGAGAGAGAGGTCTTCCATCTGCTGGTTCACTCCCCAGTTGGCAGCTACGCTGATCTGAAGCCAGGAGCTTCTTCTGGGTCTCCCACGCGCGTGCAGGGGCCCGAGGACTTGGGCCATCTTCTACTGCTTTCCCAGGCCATAGCAGAGTTGGTTCAGAAGAAGAGCAGCCGAGACTCGAACTGGCACACATATGAGATGCTGGCACTGCAGGTAATGGCTTTACCCGCTACGCCACAGTATGGCCCCTGGACTTTTTTTTTTTTTTTTTTTTTGTAGATTATTTATTTATTTGGAAATCAGAGTTACAGAGAGAGTGGAGAGACAGAGAGATCTTCCGCCTGCTGGTTCACTCCCCAAGTGGTCACATAGGCTGGGGCTGTGCTAGACTGAAGCCAGGAGCTTCATCTAGGCCTCCCATGAGGATGCAGGGGCCCAGACACCTAGGCCATCCTCTGCTGCTTTCCCAGGTGCATTAGCAGGGAGCTGGATCAGAAGTGGAGCAGCTGGGACGTGAACCGGGATGCTGGTGTCGCAGGTGGTGGCTTAACCCTCTACGCCACAGCGTCGGCCCAGGGACGTTTTTAATGCCATTGTCATCTGTGCCTGGAGGGAGTCTGTGGCTGGGCCTTTCTGTCTCCGGACTTCTGGTCAAACTGGAGGCTCTCCCAGGGGCAGCTGGCATTGAATTAAGTTCAAGCCAGCGCCATCTCCTGGCTGGGCAGGTGGGCGGCAGGGCTTTCAGCGTCTGGCCTTGGTACTGCCGAGTTGTAGACTAGAGACAGAGATAAAACAGAAGTCTCAAACCGCCAGTAGTGCGGCCTGGGGGCTGCCCCCATCTTGTCCCTGGGAGGATCTGTTAGTCACGGGGATGGGCGTCATCAGCGGCTGAGCCCCAGATGTTGGCAAAGGAATCCACCAGGCGACCGTCTCCAGCGGGCCAGGAGGACTGTGTATTAAGAAATTAAAACAGGCCCACAGCTGTACCCTCAAACACTTGGCAGTTGTTGGGAGCCCATGTTTTCAATTAGAGACGTTTCCACACGCCCACCCTGGCCCCTTCCTGCCACCGCTCTCCTGGCCCTGCTGGCAGAGCCCAGCTCACTGCTCTGTGCCTGGGGCCCCACCCAGCTCTGCTCCCAGCCTGGCGTGGGGGGCTCACCTAGTTCTTGCTGTGACTTGCGTTTTCTTTTCTTTTCCTTTTTTTTTTTTTTTTTAAAGATTTATTTATTTATTTGAAAGGCAGAGTTACAGAGAGGCAGAGGCAGAGAGAGAGAGAGAGAGAGAGACACCTTTATTCTGCTGGTTCATTCCCTAAATGACCACAATGGCCAGAGCTGCACCGATCTGAAGCCGGGAGCCAGGAGTTTCCTCTGGATTTCCCACGTGGGTGCAGGGGCCCAAGCACTTGAGCCATGTCCTACTGCTTTCCCAGGTAATAGCAGACAGCTGGAGCAGAAGTGGAGTAGCCGGGACTTGAACCGGCGCCCATATGGGATGCCTGCACCACCAGCAGTGGCTTTACCCACTACGCCACAGCACAGGCCCCAGTCTTGATAAATTATAATGTGTTATTTAGAATATTATCAGCCCGTGGGTTAATTTTTCTGAATCTCAGCTTCTCCACTTGTGAAGTGAATGGCAGTGAAATTTGATTTTTTAATTAATTATTTATTTGTTTGAAAGGCAGAGTTACAGAGGGAGGGGGGAGGGAGAGAGAGACACAGAGAGAAAGGTCTTCCATCTGTTGGTTCACTACCTAAATGGCCACAACAGCCAGGGCTAGACCAGGCCAAAACTAGGAGCCTGGAACTCCATTAGCAGGGTGCCGGATCATAAGCTGGGACTTGAACCAGGGCTCCTGTGGGATGCCAGCACAGGTGGTGGCTTAACCCACTGTGTCACAGCACCAGCCCTTGAAATTCGACTTCATTCCCTGACAGCTCTCCACCTGGCGAAGCCGTGCCCCGCCCCATCTCTCAGAAAGCTGGTGCCTGGCAGTGCTCACCTGGTGGGCGCCTACCTGGGCACCCCTCATCCCGCCCGCTCTTTCTCACTATTGTCCTAAGGTGTGGCCTGTTCCTTGATCCTTCCTGGGATGGAAGGAAGGGAGAGAAAAGCTTATTACAAAAGATCCAGCTCTGATCAGGAGCATGGTCTCCTCAGTCTCCCCATCTCCTGCTCCTCTCACTCGGCCGGGAGCATCGCGTGACCCGAGGGTGGCAGATGGAGGCTCCTGGGGACAGGGCCATGGATGGTGCTGGCCTTGCAGGCACAGGCTCCCCGATGCTGACTCCTGTTTAGTTCCTGGGGGTCTTTACAGGCCCCCAAAGCCAGAGCAGCTTTTCACTGCTCAGGATGATGGCCCAAGGTTTTTGGGGCCCAGGGGTCCGCCGTGAACCTGCAGCTGGGCACCACCGTGTGGCAGAGGAAAACTCGCTTTGGCGCCAGGCCAGCTGGGTTCAATCCTGAGTTCAGTAGGAGGGCGCAATTCCAAGACTGAGGATGAAGAAATGATGGGATGCAGCTGAGAGCCTGCTCAGTGCTGAACGCTCTCCTAGATTCTTCACACCGGAGGGGGGGCAGGGGGTGGGGTCCAGGCCGGCTCAGGACCCGCCCTTCCGTGGAAGCCCCGCCCCCTTGAAGCTTTTGCTGCAAACCAGCTGAGTGAAAGACTTACTGCCCCCACCCGCTCTGAGAAAAGCCGATTCAAACCGGCTTACCCAGGAAGGGGGCCCGCTGGGGAACACTGAAGTGGCCCCATTACCAAAAAAAGAGCCAGCTGAATAACCGGGAAGTGGGCACCAGGCCAGGTCCCGGGACTCCGGAACCTGGAACACCGTCAGCACCCCACCCCATCCCGGCAGCACTTCCTGCTTCTCTCTCTCTCTTTCTGCATCTTCTCAGCTTCCCTATCAGAGAGCGGAAAAGTCCCAGGGAAGCTCTCTGATTGGTGCAGATCACATCTGATGCCCAACCCCGGACCAATCGCTGTTTGGCCAGGGAGGCGGGATCCTGAAAAAAGATTTGGCTCTGATGTAGTCCCAGGGGGACTGGGACTGGGCTGGGCACAGTTCCCCAAAGGGAATGCTGTTTCCAGATGTGCATGTGGTGGGCGGGCCGCTGGGCAAGCCACACACGGCGTGGCCCTTTCCCCAGGAGAAACCAAACTGCTAGGCTCTGTGACCGCTGGCTGTGTGCCTTCCAGAGCGGAAGGACAGCAGCCCCAGTCCGGCTGGTGTGGTGGCGCAGTGGGAGGTGCCAGAGCACCCCGGCTGCTGTTTTGGGAAGCGCCTTTTCATCTGCAATTCCAGTTTTTTCCTCGAAAGGGGCTATGGCAGGTGTTTCTGTCTTCCCACTCCACAGACAAGGACCTGAGGCCCAAATGACTTGCCTCCGGGCATCCAGCGAGCCAAAAGCAGACCCTGAACTCAGGTCTCTTGACTCAGATCCTGTAGGAAGTTTCTGCGGGGACCTGGGCAGGGTTCAAGCCTGGCTCTCGGCCTGACCCTTGCTCAAGTCTCCACCTGGGAGGGGGTGGTGGGGCATGTGGTCAACAGGTGCAAAGGTCAGCCTGTCCAGCTGCACATGTGCAGAGCGCTCACTGCGGGTCACGTTCAGGACCAGAGACTCACAGTGTCACACCCCCACCCTCCACATAGAGCCTCATGTCCACATGGTGTAGTGAGTGCAGGGGAGGAGGGCCCTGGTCTGAGTGCTGGGCAAGGAGGCTGCTCAGAGGAAGTAGCCCTTGTGCTGGATCTGTGAGGGTGGGCAGACGAGGGGAGACGGGCTGGAAAAGCATGATGGGTGAAGGGAACAGCAGCTGTGAAGGCACAGTGGCGTGGGGAAGCATGGGGTCTCCTGTGTCCTGGCCCCAGGGGCAGCCATGCCCCTGCACTGAGCAGTGCGCCCTCCTCAAGGTCCACCCCACCCTCCTGTCTCTGCAAAGCCAGCATCATCACCCCAGGGTGCTGGGCTTGCTTCCTGCCCTCCACAGCTTCGTCCTAACCCCCCGCCAGGCACCAAGTCCAGGCCTCAGGGGCCTGTGGCTGTGTCAGGCTGTGACGTCGGGCTGTGCTTGCCTTTCAGAATCTCAGCGAAGAACCATCTTTGAATACCACCGCGTGGAGCTGGACCCCAGCAAGATCACCAGCACGTCGGCTGTGGAGTTCACCCCATTGCCCAGTGAGTAGGGGCCGTGCGGGTGCAGGTCCCAGGCTCGTCACTGACCCAGTGGGGCACAGCCACCTCACTTTGCATATGTCACATGGGGCCCCCTCCCAGAGCTGGCAGAGGGGCCAGACGCGTGCAGGCAGGGTTGAGCTGTGACACTGAGCGGTGGGTCCGGGCCTGGGTGTGGTGTGTGCCTGAGATAGGACGACACTCTGGGTATTAACTCAGAACTGAAAGCCGGGAAGGAGGGGGCTTGAGGTCACTCAGCCCGAGCCCCCGGGGGCGGCCACTGGGACGGAAGTGATCCCAAGTCTGTCATCGTCACTGTCACCACTGAGGTGCGGCAGGACAGTGGGGGCAGTGAGGGGAGGACAGCACCCCCACTCGCATCTTTCAGAGGGTTGGGATGTCTCGGCCTGGTTCAGGGTACCTCCTGGCTTCCTCTGCCTGCTTTCTGTGGGGCTTCTCGCCTCTCTCCTCTCTTCCCCGGGGCGGGGGCGGGGGTGGCCGGGAGAAGAGGAGGAGGGGCCGCCTGCATCGAGGCTGGACGCCTGAGAGCACTGGTGAACGTGGACGCCAGTCCCAGCACGTGGACACAGCCACATTTAGGAGCAAGGACGTCTGAGGACAGGGCTGGGGCTGGGGCGGAAGCAGTGAGCCGCCCTGGGAGTGCGTTTCTGGGACATGGGCTGGGCGTTGGAGCCTCCGTTCCCCTCCCCTGCCCTCCCCTCCCCTCTTCTCCCCTCCCCTCCCCCTTTGTGTGTATTCAGCGCCATGAAGGACGTCAGAGGACAGACGAGTAAAGGTCAGCAGATGTTCGGGCTGCTCAGGGCCTCTGTGCTTGTTAAGTTTAAAAAAAATTGTTGACTTATTTGAAAGACAGAGAGAGAGGCATACAGACAGACAAAAGGCCTCTTTTCCCCTCATTCACTCCCCAAATACCAGGGTTGGGCCAGGCTGAAGCCAGGAGCCAGGAACTCCATCCAGATCTTCCCTGTGGATGTCTGGATGTTCCCAGTCCTGGGCCATCACCTGCTGCTTCCCAGGCGCCCGTTAGCGGGAAGCTGGAACTGAGCGCAGAACTGGAACCTGGCCCAGGCACTCTGATAAGGGATGCAGACATCGCTAGCAGCATTGTTTTGACACTTGTTGATTTTATTTATCTAAAAGGCAGAGCAAGGGGCCCGCATTGTGACACTGCCTGTGATGCAGACATCCCATATGGGCACGAGTTCGAGTCTCGGCTGCTCCACTTCCAATCCAGCTCCCTGCTGGAGCACATGGGAAAGCAGTGAAAGATGGCCCAAGTATCTTGGCCCCTGCCAGTCATGTGGGAGACCTGGAGGAAGTCCCTGGCTCCCGGCTTTGGCCCAGCCTAGCCCCAGCTATTCGGGGAGTGAACCAGCAGATGGAAGAGCTCTCTCTTCTCTCTCTCTCTTTCTCTCTGTAACTCTGCCTTTCAAATGAATAAACAAATCTTTTTTAAAAAAATTAAAAATAAAAGGCACAGCAACACAGAGAGATCTTCCATCTGGTGGTTTGCTCCCCCCCATGCCTGCAGCTGAGACAGGCTGCGCCAGGCTGAAGCCAGGAAACTGGAACTCCATCTGGATCTCCCATAGGGACTGGGGACTCAAGTTCTTGAGCCCTCACCTGCTGTTTCCCAGGGTGCACAGAGAGGCCTGGGGCGACGGTGGGGGCAGAGGCAGGGGGAGGTCACAGGGGAACCTCAAGGCTGAGCTCTAGGCTCCGGCAGATCCTGATTCAAACCCATTCCTGCCCCTTCTTAGAGCCACGACTGTCTCCAAGCCTCGTGTCCCTTTTCTGGTACGTGGGGACGCCAAGAGCACCTGGGGTCAGCAGCCACTGCCAGGTGCCACCCTGAGCCCCGCCCTGCATGTCAGGGGCCGTGCGGCTGGAGAGCGGTCATCCCCAGGCCCAGGGCATGAGGGATCTATCTGGCTGCTTATTCCCACCCATGGCTTCCCATGCCCCCTGCCAAGGCCTGCAACACCATGGCAGACACAGGACGGGGTGCCCACAGAGGGCCTGAGGTGGCCACAGGGCCCACGACAGCCTCTCCGCTGCTCACCGAGAGCCGGCCCCCCGCTGCCTCATGGGTTCCTTGAGAGGAATGAGTACATGAGTGGTCACAGCAAGGCGCGTGACTGGGCCTCCCTGGGTGTCATTTCATCCTCGCAGCCAGTCTACCAGGCAGCACGAATCCCAGATACGGTCCCCGTGTTGGGCACCCCAGCTCCAGACTTGTTCTTCCTACCTCTCTGCTCCCTTAACCCTCTGACCTGTAAAAGTCGCTTTCAACCCTGTGGCTGTAGGAAACCTCACCACCGGCCGTTGGGGGAGCCGCCCCGCACCCACTTCTAGCACTCTGGGACCTCCCTCCGGAGACCTCAGCAGAGGCCTGTGGTTACCTTGTCTGATACTCGCTGAGCGTCTGTCTCCTGTGCGGCTCTGTGCCCCATGAGGGCGCGGGTCAGGCCCTGCTGCGGGGTGCCCGGCTCCAGCTCAAGGCCTGTGCCCCTGGTGATGAAGGAAGGGAGGAATAGGGCAGACTCAGTGGGGGCCGCGCGAATGAGCTCAAAGGTCCTGCGAAATCAGAGGCGCGAGGGCCCAGGAGCTGCACCCCTGGGGTGCGCGGGAGTCGCGCGCCGAGCGGCCACTGCCTGCCTTCTCTCTTGCAGCCTGCCTGCAGCATCAGAGCTGTGACGCCTGCATGGCCTCGGACCTGAACTTCAACTGCAGCTGGTGCCACGTCCTACAGAGGTTTGTGCCCAGGGCAGGCGTGGGTGACACGGCCCACTCTGGCCTCAGACCCCGTTGCCCACAGTCTGCCCACATGAGGGTGGCCCGGACCTTGGGGCGAGAAGGGCGCGGAGGAGAGCTTCTCCCTGAGGCTTGTGCCTGGTCGAGGTGTCGGTGTGGCAGGGCGTGGCCTTGGTGATGGAAAGACCATGCAGCGGTTCCAGCTGTTGCAGCTCCCTCCTCACACCTGGGGAGGGCAGGGTTTATTGGAGCCAGCGCTACTCGGAGTCCCGGAGTCCCTGAGAACCTCTGGTCAGCGGGCAGATCCACCCCAGCCCCTCTGTATCAAGCTCTCAGGGAGAGAGCCCAGGAATCTGCATTTTACCATGGTGCCCGTCTGCCAACAAGCGTGACAACTGCCAGCTTAAGGACGGAGTGGCCCCCGAACAGCACCTTGAGGTCTTTCTTGGGCTGAGGCAGTGTTTCCTGGAAACCAGGCGTGGGCGCTGCAGGCATGGTGCAAGTTGGGGCCGGGGTGGGGGGCGGGGCACTCTCAGCTGTCTTGGCCCGGTTTTGGAAACTCTGAGTGAGATTTGATTTCAAGGATAAAGTTCTTAAATGCAACTGCTCTTCCACTCCTTGCTTTGAATCATTTCCTCACAGACTGGGCTCCTGCTCCAAGCTCTGTTCCTCTGTCCAAGATAAATAAATGGCGGGAGGGGAGCAAATAAAACGATTGCTTTGGGGACCAGTGTTCTCATGAGAGTGGAAAACCTTAGGAATTACCAGAGCCCTTAAGGTGATCCTGCAAATTGCAAAATGACAGTCTCTGAGCTCCCAGGCAGCTGTCGTGCACCCGTCAGCGTTCCCTTTGCTCCTTGCCAACATCTGGGGCAGAAATAGCTCTCGTCCTGACAGGCAGCCCGCCCCGCACAGGGCTTGGAGGAGAGGGGCGGGCGCTCGGCAGGCCTTCTAGGTGCTCTTCCACCAGCTGGGCCTTTGTTCACTCTCCTGAGCCTCAGTTTGTTTGCCCTGCGGAATGGGCTGAGGCTATGTCACTGAGGGAGATGTGACTAAGGAATGCACCATTATTTTTTTTAAATGAGATATTTCCCTTTTTTTTCCCTTAAAGATTTTTTTTAATATATGAGACACAGAGTTACAGAAAGAGGTAGAGACAGAGAGAGAGAGGTCTTCTATCTGCTGGTTCACTCCCCAAATGGTCACAATGGCCAGAGCTGAGCTGATCCGAAGCCAGGAGCTCCTTCCAGGTTTCCCACACTGGCACAAGAACCCAAGGACTTGAACCATCTTTTACTGCTTCCCCAGGTCATAGCAGAGAGCTGGACTGGAGATGGAGCAGCTGGGACTCGAACTGGCACCCATAAGGGATGCTGGCACTGCAGGCCGGGGCTTTAACCTGCTGTGCCACAATGTCGGCCCCCAATGCACCTTTACTTAAACCCCTCCAATAGCACACAGCATTTCTACAGAGCTCTCAGGGATCTTCGTGTGAAAGGCACAAAGTCACCTGTAGGGGGCTTGTTAAATGCAGATCCCTGGTGCCCACCTCAACCCGCTGAACATGACCCTCCGGCACCCAGGTCCCCGGGACCTGGTTTCTGGAGCTGTCCATCACGTGCACTTTCAAATGTGGGACCTGGGCCTTAGCGACAGGAGGTAACCAGGATGAGCTAGGAGCCCTGGGATCCTGGGGCCGGCTGCCACTGCCTGACTCAGGCCCCAGCGGAGCTGAGCCACGGCAAACTGCAGAATGGGTCAGGGGAAAGCAAAAAGTGCAAAGCCACGTGATGCCCGTGTACTGCGCTCGCCGGGCTCAGAGACCACGTGACTTGGTCAGGGCTGGGGAGGCGGGGCCTGTGCCTTTGCTGTGGTTACGTCAGCCGTGGCCAACCACAGTGCAGACGCACCGTCAGAGGGGCCACCGCTGGAGGCCTGGCCCAGGGCCCCTCCTTGCCAGCTCTCCAGGGTCTCAGCTCCAATTGAGAGCTAAAACCAGGTCCCTCAAAGCAAGGGGCGGGGCAGGCATTTGGCACGTGGGTAAGCTGGGGGTGGGGGACACAGCACCCCACGTCAGAGAGCCTGGGTTCAAGTTCTAGCTCCACTTCAGATTCAAACTTACTGTTGACGCACACCCTGGAAGACAGCAGTGATGTCTCAAGTCCTCGGGTCCCTGCCACCCGCATGGGAGACCTGGATGGAGTTCCAGGCTCCTGGCTTCAGCCTGACCCAGCCCCAGCTGTTGAAGTGACCTGGCAAATGGAAGATCTCTCTCTCTCTCTCTCTCTCTCTCCCTGCCTTCCAAATAAAATAAATAAAAATTTTTAAAAAATAGAGAGCAAGGCCGGGTCTGTGGGGTTGGCTGATGTGGTCGCTTCCACCCACAGCTGCTATTTATTTATTTATTTATTTGACAGGCAGAGTTAGACAGTGAGAGAGAGAGAGACAGAGAGAAAGGTTTTCCTTCCATTGGTTCACTCCCCTATTGGCCGCAACGGCCGGCACTGCACTGATCCGGAGCCAGATGCTTCTCCTGGTCTCCCATGTGGGTGCATGGCCCAAGCACTTGGGCCATCCTCCACTGCCTTTCCGGGCCACAGCAGAGAGCTGGACTGGAAGAGGAGCAGCCGGGACAGAACCGGCACCCCAACCGAGACTAGAACCCAGGGCGCCGCAGGTGGAGGATTAGCCTAGTGAGCCGCAGCGCTGGCCCACAGCTGCTTTCAATCCTTGGCTCCCTGCTCCCCGCCCCTCCCCGCCCTGCCCCCACCCCAGCCCTCCGAGGGCTCCCCCTCCCTGCTGGGGCTGGGGCTGATTTGGACACGCGTCTTCCGGTCAGTCATCTAACACTGCACCCCTCAGACCCAGCCTGGAGTCCCAGGGCAACCTCAACCCAGCATCAGCTCCAGAAAGTAGGGTCGTGGTGAGGGTCCCAGGAGGTGGCCTGGGGCAGTGCAGCTGGCATTCGGGAGACGCTTAGTTAAGCGGTCATTTCTCACGCCCTTGTTTGAATCAGGGCTTAGGATGAGCTGCTTAAATCTACAGCAAAGCTCTGTCCGTGAAAGGATCCACCTGATCTGTGAGAAACGGGAGTTCTCAGCTCCAGCAGTCGCCGTCGCCATCCCCCAAAGTCACGGCCGAGGAGATGCGTGTGGCTGGGTGCCTTTGGCCACCGCAGCAGCCACAGGCGCCCCTGGAGGCACCTTCAGGGGGAAGGCCTGGCAGGCAGTCCCCCGGGAGCTCAGCCCCGGGCAGGCGTGGCGGTGCCGGGCTAACTCAGCACTGCTTCAGCCTGTGTGGCTCCACGTCGTTCTTCCCGCACCCTCGTCCCTGAGCTCGCAGGGGGCTGGGCCGAGACCCCTGGCGCCAGTGAGGAGCAGAGAACACCCTCTCTTCATCCCCACGCCACCTCTTCCCTGGGGAAGCGCGTGGTGTCTTCCAGCCCCACTGAGCTGCTCAGCATCCCCACCACCACCCAATCTGGAGACCCTGGTCAGCCTGGTCCCTGCCAGACCCTGGGGGGACCCTGGTCTCCACCCTTCAGCCATTGCACGGGGACAGGTAGCTGAGATTGTGGACACCCACCTCGACCAAGCCCCTCCCTCACAAGTTCGCACCCCACCCCCCCAGCAACTACAAGGGAGGGAGCCAGCCGTGTGAGCGAGCTGGGCTTCTTCCCGCTGGGACCACAGCGTGGTTCCCTGCTGACTCAACACACAGGCAGGGGGCTGTACTGGCCTCACAGGTGAGGCAGTGCAGCCAGTGTCCTGTGCACACCTCTAGGCAGTGGCCTCGGGCTGGGGAGTGGGCTCAGGAGGGCAAGGAAGCCCCAGACACCATCCACTCCTGCTGGGGAAGGAGGAGAGGGGCAGGAAGGTCTGACTGCTGGTCCCACGGCTGCTCAGTGCCCAGGACACCTGCCCGTGGACACCCTGCCGCCAGCAGCTCAGCCCCTCTCCTTACAGAGCAGGGGAAGGAAGGGGGCGGCTTCTGTCTGTCCCCTCACACCTCTGATCTTTTGGTCCCCGCAGATGCTCCAGTGGCTTTGACCGCTACCGCCAGGAGTGGCTGGCCTACGGCTGTGCCCAGGAGGTGAGAGGCTGGAGCAGGGCCAGGCGGGCTGCCAGCGGCCCCTCTCCTCAAGCTGCCCTTAGCCCTCTGTGACAGTGAGGATGCACCTGCCCAGGCTCCAGCCCTCTGGCTTTCCAGGAAACAATCATCCTGGAAGTGAGGTGGCACCTGCCATTTAGACTCCCACGTAAGGTCCTTCTCACTGCTAGAATTTTCCAGAACACCCAGCGCTGGGATTCTGGGTGGGGTACATCCAGTGCTCACCCCTTATGGCGGCATAGCCACTTCCATTCATCCATGGCTACGTTTTCCCTGCCTTCCTCTGGGTCTTTTCTTGCTATGCCAGTGCGCATGTGCCAAGCTCCTTGCTGTGGGCGGCCCTACACTCACTCTTGTTTAACATGACCCCAGAAGCGGAACCCTCTGTCCCCTTTCATCAGAGGGGAAACTGAGGCTCAGAATAGTTGAACGACTTGGCCGGCATCTCACTGCTGGACTGGGCCAGGCCCGGTGTTTGACCGCAAACCTCCCAGGCTTTTCCCGCCTTTCCCACATACTCACCCCAGCCTGCTTTGCTCACCCCGTGAGCTGGCTTTTGCTGGCTAGCATCTGCCCATTGGCTGTCGATGAAGGTCCAGAGCTGCTCTGTTTATTGGTCACCAGTGCCTCAGCTCCCTCCTCCAGGCAGGGTTTGAAGCAGCCCATTGGTCAGCGGCCCTGCCAGCCAGGAGGCTTCCAGGCTGAAGCGGGAGGTCGGTCGAACACGTGCAGGGACTGCACTGGTTCAGGAAGCATCCCGGGCCTCTCTTGCAGGCCGAGGGCAGGACATGCGAGGACTTCCAGGATGAGGATCACTACTCGGCTTCCCCCGCTGGCTCCTCTGGCCCCTTGGACGGAGACCTCACCACCACCTCCTCCCTGTCTGTGGACAGCCTCACTCCAGAAGGTAAGGCCTGAGCCTGGGTGAGAGTGGGCGAGCCCTGGGGAGAGACTGCCCAGGCCCTACCTGCCCCTCGCTGCCGTGGTCTGCGAGACAGGTGAGGGGCTGGGGCTCAGAGACAGGAGCCAGTCTGCTGCCGCCCAGGGTGCACACTGACGGGAGGCTGAAGTAGGAAACAGAACCGGACTCAAGCCCAGGAGCCCTGATATAGGATGCAGGCTTCTGTGCAGGGGTTAAGATGCTGCCGCGGACCCCACTAACTCGCCCCTCCGTCCTTTCTCTTTGAAGATGACACCAAGCTGAATCCCTACGCAGCAGGAGACGGTGAGTGCAGACCTGCTGCCTCTGGGGACACTCTCCTGCCACCAGAGGGCGCCGCAGCTGGTGGGCCTTTCTTTGTGATGGAGAGGAAGGAGGGACACAGCCTGAGCGTGCCAGACCTCCTGCCTGGTGGGCACAGGCCCCTTCCCAGCCCCTCTGCCCATCCACATTGGCTGCCGTGAAAGGTGTGGGAGGAAGAGGAAGGGCTGAGCCGATGGCTGGTGGGGCTTGTGGCCATCACTCTGTTCACATCAAGTTCCCTTCGGGTCCCAGCTTGGGTTAGCAGAGAATACATAGAAATTGTCCAAAACAGAAGGTGCCAGAATGTGGGATTGGCCCAGCACACACACACACACACACACACACACCCACCCCACCGCCCCGGGATTACCCGGATGGCGAGTGGCCGTCTCCCCTGGCCGAGCCCTTGCTGCAGACACCCTGAGAGTGGGAATGGAAACGTGCTGGCTCCGGGGCTGCATGCTACCTGGGGTGCCTGCGAGAGGAGCGGTTATTAACACTGCACAGTGTGACTGCATTTCTTACCAAGCTGCAGCCATGGCTCTTTGGGTCTGTGTGGACGCTGCGTGCTGGCTGGGCCCCAGGCCCCTGGCTCTCCATCCGCGCTCAGCAGCTGAATCCCTGGCTGTCTGCGTGCTGATTGGCAGCCAGGTCTGATGTGGGGTCTAGGTTGGGGCCTGTCGCTCAGCTGCGCCCCCTGTTGGCAGGTTGAGGCATGGGCCGCGCGCCGAAATCTGGGAATATTTCTTTCCTGGGCTTTCTCTGCTCACAGAGAAAAAGGTGTGAGGACACTGATTTTGAACAGGGGGGACATCCCGCCCTCTGTTGCCTCCCACACGCTCACTTCCGATTGCTGCCTCCCTATCCCCACGGCCCTTCAGGGTGGGGTGAGGAAGCAAATAGCCAGCCTGGGTCAGGGCAGGGAGCCCGGCTTCCCGGCAGCTGTCCCTGGAGCTGCGAGTCCTTGGGTGAATCACTTACCCTCTCTGCATTTCCATTTCCTCACCTGGGGGGGGGGGGCTGGGAGCGCTTCCAGCCCTACTGTCCGTGCACAGCCCTCGCTCTCCTGCTCTGGGAGGGAGGTGCTGAGTGCCTGCCGCTTTCTAAACTCACACAGGACAGAGTTCGTCCTGGAGACCTTGTACCAGTCCATTTCTTCCTCCTCCTCCTCTTCTTCTTTTAGAAAAGATTTATTTTATTTATTTGAAAGTTACAGAGAAGGGGGCCGACACTGTGGTGTAACAGTAAAGCTGCCACCTGCAGTGCCGGCATCCCATATGGGTGCCGGTTCACGTCCCTGGCTGCTCCACTTCCAATCCAGCTCTCTGCCGGGGCCTGGGAAAGCAGTACAGGATGGCCCAAGTCCTTGGGCTCCTGCACCCACATGGGAGACCCGGAAGAATCTCCTGGCTCCTGGCTTCAGATTGGCACAGCTCCAGCCATTGAGGCCAACTGGGGAGTGAACCAGCAGATGGAAGACCTCTCTCTCTCTCTCTCTCTTTCTCTCTCTCTCCCCTTCTCACTCTCTGTAACTCTGACTTTCAAATAAATAAATAAATAATATTAAAAAAAAAGTCAGAGGGGGGTAGAGACACACACACACACACACACAGAGAGAGAGAGAGAGAGAGAGAGAGAGAGAGGTCTTCCATCTGCTTGTCCACTCCCCAGATGGCTGCAATGGCCGGAGCTGCACCAATCCAAAGCCAGGAGCCAGGAGCTTCTTCCTGGTCTCCCACACAGGTGCAGGGGCCCAAGCACTTGGATCACCTTCTAGTGCTTTCCCAGGCCACAGCAGAGAGCTGGATTGGAAGAGGAGCAGCAGGGACTCAAACCAGCACCCATATGGGATGCCGATGCTGCAGACCGGGGCTTTAACCTGCTGCCCCACAGCGCTGGCCCCATGCTCCACTTATTCTAAGAGCTGAGATGAATAAGACAGTGTCCCTGCCCTCCAGGAAGTATAATCTGGTGGTGGACAGCGACAAGGAAAATCCTGGGCATTTGCTTCCATACTGGCCAACAACTACTGAGGTCCTCCGAGATGCTGTGCTTGGCCCTTGGTGCCGAACGTGAATGACCTTGTTTAACCTTCACAGTGACCCCCCCACCACATGGTGGCTATTGCTGTTCTTGGTCTATAGCAGTGGTCACAGACACCGGGAGGTTAAATACATTACCCAAGTTATACAGCTAGTGAGTGGGAGAGTGGCGATGAGAACCCAAGTGCCAGGTTCCAGATTCCATTTTTTTAAAAGATTTATTTAGTTATTTGAAAGTCAGAGTTACAGAGAGGCAGAGAGAGAGAGAGAGAGAGATCGATCTTCCATCTGCTGGTTCACTCCCCAATTGGCCACAATGGCCGGAGCTCCACCAATCCAAAGGCAGGAGCCAGGAGCTTCCTCCAGGTCTTCCACATGAGTGCAGGGGCCCAAGGCCTTGGGCCATCTTCCACTGCTTTCCCAGGGCATAGCGGAGAGCTGGATCAGAAGTAGAGCAGCTGGGACATAAACCCACGCCCACATGGGATGCCAGCACTGCAGGTGGCGGATTTACCCGCTACACCACAGTGCCAGCCCCCCAGATTTCATTTTTTTTTTGACAGGCAGAGTGGACAGTGAGAGGGAGAGACAGAGAGAAAGGTCTTCCTTTTTCCATTGGTTCACCCCCCAATGGCCACTGCAGCTAGCACGCTGTGGCCAGTGCACTGTGCTGATCCAAAGCCAGGAGCTGAGTGTTTCTCCTGGTCTCCCATGCAGGTGCAGGGCCCAAGCACTTGGGCCATCCTCCACTGCACTCCCAGGCCACAGCAGAGAGCTGGAGTGGAAGAAGAGCAGCTGGGACAGAATCCGGTGCCCCGACCGGGACTAGAACCTGGGGTGCTGGCACTGCAGGCGGAGGATTAGCCTATTGAGCTGTGGCACCGGCCCAGATTTCATTTTTTAAAAAAATATTTTATTTGGGGCTGGCACTGTGGTGTATCAGGTAAAGCTGCCACCTGCAGTGCTGGCATCCCATATGGGTGCCAGTTCAAATCCCAGCTGCTCTACTTCCAATCCAGCTCTCTGCTATGGCCTGGGAAAGCAGTGGAAGATGGCCAAGTCCTTGGGCCCCTGCACCTGCATGGGAGACCTGGAAAAAGCTCCTGGATCCCCGCTTCAGATCAGCACAGCTCCAGCCATTGCAGCCAATTGGGGAGTGAACCAGTGGCTGGAAGACTTTCCCTCTCTCTCTCTCTTTCTCTCTCTCTCTCTCTCTCCTTCTCTCTCTATGCAATTCTGATTTTCAAGTAAAATAAATAAATCTTTAAAAATAGTTTTATATATTTGAAAGATAGAGTTACAGACAGACAGAACTTTCATCTGCTGGTTCACTCTCCAGATGGCCACAATGGCTGGGGTTGGGTCAGGTTGAAGCCACAAGCCTGGTGAAAGCCAGGAGCCTGGAGCTCCATCCGGGTCTCCCATGTGGGTGCAGAGGCCTAAGGACTTGGGCCATCTTCTGCTTCTCTCCCAGACGAATTAGCAGTGAGCTAGATAGGAAGTGGAGCAGCCGGGTCTCGAAGTGTTGGCGCTGCAGGCGGCAGCTTTACGCACTATGCCATAGCGCCGCCCCCCATACCCAGATTTATTGGGGCCAGCACTGTGGCACAGCGGGTTAATGCCCCAGCCTGAAGCACTGGCATCCCATATGAGCGCCATTTCAAGTCCCAGCTGCTCCACTTCCGATCCAGCTCTGCTACGGCCTGGGAAAGCAGTGGAGGATGGCCCAAGTCCCTGGGCCCCTGCACCCGCGTGGGAGACCCAGAAGAATCTTCTGACTCCTGGCTTCGGATTGGTGCAGCTCTGGCTGTTGTGGCCAGTTGGGGAGTGAACCAGCGGATGGAAGACCTCTTTCTCTTCCTCTCTCCTCTCTGTGTAACTCTGAATTTCAAATAAATAAATAAATAAATAAATCTTTTAAAAACTGATTTATTTATTTGAAAGGCAGAGAGACGAGAGAATGTCTTCTATCTGCTGGGTCACCTGGCTTGCTCTCCAAATGACAACAGCCAGATCTGGGCCAGGCCGAAGCCAGGAGCCCAGAGCTTCGTCCAGGTCTCCCACATGGGTGCAGGAGCCCAAATACTTGAGCCATCTCCCACTGCTTTCCCAGGTGCATTGGCAGGGAGCTGGATCAGAAGCAGAGCAGCCAGGACTTGAACCCGTGACGGCGCTTATATGGGATGCTGGTGTTGGGAGTGCAGCTTAACCCACCACGTCACAGCGCCACCCCCAGCTTCTAGATCTCCAGCTCTTAACCACTAGCTGCCCTTAGTGAATTCTCTGACAGCACTTAGGAGGCCCGGGTATCACAGGGCTCTTCTCTTAGGAGCCTCCCTAGACATCGGGGCAACTTGTAACTGATATTGGGGACCCCCTGAGAGGCACCAAGCCAACATCACTGCCCCTCGCCTGATGCGTCCTGCAACGCCCGCCTCCCCTCCCCGGCCCTGGATTTGACAAGGGGACTCACAGGCCTGAGCGGCCGTCACCCCTGGGGCTGTGTTGGAGCCTGACTCTTTAGCCTGCTCTTCCCTGCTCCCTGCCCTCATGGTCTCTCCTCAGGCCTCCAGAACAACCTGTCCCCCAAGTCACAGGACACCCTGGTGCCCCTGGGCACCACCGTGGGCGTGGCGCTGGCAGTCCTTCTCGTGGCGGCCATCATCCTGGCTGGGATTTACATCAGCGGTCACCCTACCTCCAATGCCGCCCTGTTCTTCATCGAGGTCAGTGCAGAATCGTGCACCGGCCCATCCTGAGCCTGCTACTCCCCATCTCACCCCTCCGGCACGCCCCCTGAGAAACCCGAGCCGTCAGCTCCTCCCAGGCTCAGCCCCCAGAGCCCCTTCTGTCCATCGTCCTCAGCCCTCATGCTCTTGGGTGCAACCCCTCTGTTGGAGGGAGGGAGGGAGGGAGGGAGGGAGGAGGAAGGGAGGGAGGGATGAGGGGGGGAGGGAGGGAGGGAGGGAGGGAGGGAGGGAGGGAGGGAGAGGGGCTGGCAGTCCATCCCCAAGGAATCGTGGCCTCTCACGCCCACGTTCTGGGCTCTGAACTGAAGTCAAGGCTGTAGGGGACCAAGACCTCTGCCTCTTTGGTCTGCTCCGGTGGGCGTTCTGGGTTAAAGGGGACGAGCCGGAAGAATGGAGGCTGTCCTCTCTGGGAGCATTCTCTGGGACGCTGCAGTTTTGGGGTGTCCCAAAGTGTGATGACACAGTGAGGCGCAGCGCGGGGAGTGCGGCTCAGCCCTGTCACCCTGGGCCATGAGGCTCAGTGGCTCTGGCCGCCAACCTCCCCACCTGACCATGGTACAGCCCCTCCGGGACCTCAGTCTCCTCTGTTGGGGTCAGGAGCCAGCTGACCTCTCTCCCTGGAAGCCTGGGTGGTCCCAGCCTCTCTGCTTAGATGACTGGATTTCTTTTCCTTTTTAAATTTGTCATTCATTTATTTGAAAGGTGGAGACACAGAGATAGAAAGACCTTCCACTCACTGGTTCTCTCCCTCAAGTGCCTGCGATGCTCCAGGCTGGTTAAGGCTGAGGCCAGGAGCCTGGAACTCAGTCCAGGTCTCCCTTGTGGGTGGCAGGAACCCAAGCACTTGAGCCGTCACCTGCTGTTTCTCAGGATGTGCCCAACAGGAAGCTGGGATTGGAAGCAGAGCCAGGACTCAAACCCAGGCCCTCCAATATGGACTGTGGGCATCCCAAGTGTGTCCTAACTGCTGTGTCAAATATCCACCCCATCCCCTTTCTCCTGCAAAACAATGAACCCCACTCAGCCGTTCTGAGATCTTTAGCAGCCAGGGATCTCCTGCAAGCTGCAGACACCACACGCCACAGAGATCAGATGCAGCAGGTCTGGGGGGCCTAGGAATCTGAATTTGAATAAGTCCTGGACACCACCCTCCTGGACCATGACACAGGACCTGTGCTGCCTAGAAGGTTCTCTTGGCAGTTCCAGAGCCTTCCAGATCATTCCAGCCATTTCTGATCTACTGCCTTGCCTTCCGCAGTCTCAGGCCTCTGCCCGATTACTGCTGTAGCTTCTGGCTGTGAGTTCTGCAGACCACGCAGTGGGGGCTACAATGTCCTCCCTTCAGACTCTGGCTCCCAGCAGGTTTCCCGGTGATCCAGGGATCACAGCAGGGAATCCTTTGGGGAGAGGGGCCCTGAATGTCACCCGGCTCCCAACACCCTGTGGCCCCTGGGAGAGTCTTGGTGCCTTACACTGGGGGTGGGGTCTTCCCTGGGAAGGCCAGACCCGCTGACTCTGCCTCTGCACCCCCCGCAGCGGAGACCGCACCACTGGCCGGCCATGAAGTTCCGCAACCACCCCAACCACTCCACCTACACGGAGGTGGAGCCTGCAGGCCACGAGAAGGAGGGCTTCGTGGAGGCAGAGCAGTGCTGAGAGCCCCAGCAAACAGGACCCAGGAACTCCCACAAAGACAGGTCAAAGCAGAGGGGAGCCATGACACACACACACACACACACACACACACACACACACACCGCCTCCTCCCAGTGTGCCCTGGGCTGGAGAGAGGCAGTGGCTCCTGGTGCCTGAGCTGCGGTTTGCTGAGGGCACAGAAAAGCAACCGTGTGAGTTTTTAAAGGGACAATAACCCAAGTTCATCCTGTCTGATGCTCGGGTCCTTCCCTCTGGGTCTGTCAGTGGTCACTGTCCCAGAGCCCCTCCAACCTGGATGCCCTGCCCCCAGTTACCTGGAGCCCCTGTGTCTGACAGCGCTACCGAAAGCCTAGACTGGGGCTGATGCATTCCAGGGCCCATAGACTCAAGAGCTGGTCCTCCTGGCTATGGAGTCATGACCTTGGCCCCAGCTTCCAAGGCTCTGACACCCTGAGAAGGATTTTGCCCCGGCTGCCACACACGGGGCCGGCTGCCCTCAGCCCTGGTGTCCATCCCTGGAGGAAAACATGTGCAGGTCGGGATTGCACGCTCGGGCTTGGCTCCCTTCCATCGCCCCTTCCGCCTCAGATGTGCATGGCCTGTGCCAGCCCTGGGCCTGGCGTGCTGTGCCGTGCCGGCCGCGTGCGCCTCACTGGATGACACATCTGGGCCCGTGGTACTCCTCGGCCTGTCCTGCTGGCAGTGGTGGGAAGCACGCCCAACGGCAGGCTTACCTGATTTCTATTTCTCCTCTCTGAACTAGACTTTTGTGGCCGCTGAAGGCAAACAGGGTGGCGAGAGGGCCCCGGGAGATGTCCCCAGCAGGGCACTTGGCTGAGTGCTGTTGAGAGGCGAAGCTGCCAGCAGGATGGGGATGGAGGGAGCTGGCACAGGAGGGTGGGGCTTTCCACGCACGACCTTGACCTAGAAGCGGCCTCCATCTCCCTGGTTCCACAGAAAGTCCTGGAGGTGGGGAGTTCGGGCTCCCAGGCTTGCCCTGGTTTGGAGGGAGTCTCGTCCCAGCAATGAATGCTTCTGAGGGCATTTGTCACTCACATCTATGGCTCACCCTCGTTCAGAGCAAAAAATATCAGCAGAAATAAAGGTTAAATCACAGTACTCACCGAGTCACAGCCTTTTGTGCGTGTCACAGAGGACACAGAGAAGGAAGACGGAAGTTTGTGTCCAGGGCGGTCTGCTGTGCGTGGTGGGGCCGGGGGTAGGAAGCCCGCACAGCCAGATGCGGCCGGACACTGAGCGCAGGATTCCCAGCCACTCCGTGCCTCCTCTCCCTCCGTGAGGACACTGATGACAGTCAGAGTCGGAAACCAGATGAGGAAGGGCTGGGAGAGGGGCGGAGCTGGGGGAGCGTGGGGAAGACCGCGAGTGGGGTTCTTTCCTGGCTTCGGCAGGACACACAGGTCTGCAGCGGAACCCTCATGGAAATGGTCTGGGCTCCCGGCCGCCCCACCACTTGCAGGGTGTCTTTTGCTCTTGGTGGATGGACAAAGTGTCCATGACCTTCATGTGTCTAAAATGGTCAGGGGGACAATTCCTGAGCAGTGGACAGCACCAGCCGCCAGGCACCCACACACGCCCACACTGCTGCACACCTCACCCCTGTCGGAGCTCCGGCAACCGAGCGGGCGGGAAGGAACACTGAGTGCGGATGGGGGCAGTGATGGCCGCTCCCCACTCTGGCCCCGGTGACGGTCAGAGCAAGGCCAGCTGAGCCCTGGCGTGGCACAGTGAGGGGAGCGGAGCTGCTGGGCAGCACGCAGCCGCTTCTTTACAGCCAGAAGAACCAAAGATGTGCCACTGAGACACATGCCAGCCTCCGGTTCCTCTGAGAGTCGCTGGCAGTCTCGCCGGGCCATGTGGCACTTCACATATGTGGGCTCCCAGGCCTCCTCACCACTGCCACACACGTACGGTCTCCAGGGAAAGCAAGTCATTGGCAGGTGCCTTCCCCGGGCAGTGTCTTTGGGAACCCTGGGGGTGGGGTCTGTGAATGTGTCACTCAATAGAAATGAAGCGCAGACCCCAGGGGCCTTCCATGTTGTACACAGAGATCACAAGGTCTGAGAAGGGCTGTTTGTCCTGGAGCTCTGTTTTTTAAAAAGATTTATTTATTTAATTGAGGGACCCATGCTGTGGTGTAGTAGGCTGTCTTGAGGCCAGCACTGTGGTGTAGTGGGTAAAACCGCCTCCTGCAGTGCCAGCATCCCATATGGGCACCAGTTCAAGTCCCAGCTGCTCCTCTTTGGATCCAGCTCTCTGCTATGGCCTGGGAAAGCAGTAGAAGATGGCCCAAGTCCTGGGCCCCTGCATCCACGTGGGAGACCTGGAAGAAGCTCCTGGCTCCTGGCTTTGGATTGGCCCAGCTGCAGCCATTGCAGCCATTTAGGGGGTGAACCAGTGGATAGTAAACCTTTCTCTCTGTCTCTTCCTCTCTGTCACTCTACCTCTCAGATAAATAAATAAAATCTTTTTTTTTTTAAAAAAGATTTATTTGAAAGGCAGAGTGACAGAGGGAGAAAGACAGAGAGAGAGAGAAAGAATCTTCATGTGCTGGTTTATTCCCCAAATGGCCACAACAGCTAGGGCTGGGCCAGGCAGACTCCAGGAAGGTGGAACTCCATCCAGGTCTCCCACATGGGTGGCAGGGCCCTAGGTACTTGGGCCATCATCAGCTGCTTTCCCAGGCACATCAGCAGGAGCTGCATTGGAAGCAGAGCAGTCAGGATTTAGAATCAGCGCTCCAACATGGGATTGCAACAGTGTTGCAAGTGGTGGCTTAACCTGATGTGCAACTGTGGCCAGTCCCTGTAGCAGAACTCTGAGGGAACTAACAAAAAGCCTGAGTATGAGGAAGCAAGCAGAGGCTGGCACTGTTAGGAAGAGTTGGAGGAGAATGGCTGAGCTATGTCTTTGTTCCATCAGGTACAACAGGGCCCCAGGATCAGGCTGAAAGCGCAAGCTGTCACCTTCATCCAACCACGCCTAGATGTGTAGCCTTGTCCAGTAAGACCCCCAGGTTTCTGATTCCAGAACACAAGTGCACGTGAGCTCAGCATCAGCCTCAATGCCCAGGAGTTCCCCAGGTTTGGGCCACCTTGCAGATGGCCGCTTCCCTCCGGCGGTAATTGCCCCCCACCTCCACCTCCCCAAGCAGGCCCATGACTCTGGAGGCCACTTGTTCAGGTCTCGGCCAAGAGCCTGAGGCTGACAAGATACTTCAGTCACTGTTACAGGTTCCTGATGAACCTCTGAAGAACAATGTTTACTTCTGCACAGTCTACCAGAGCTCCCTGTGTAATAGATCCCCGTGTGCGTGCACACATGTACACAGGGGCACACACTCCGGTTTTGTTGCTAAAAATATGGAGTTACAGCTCCAAAGGCTGCAGCTGTGCTTGGCCCTTAGCTGGGTTTGCTGAATGAAGACAACGTGTGCCAAAGGCAGGGTGGCCACCACCACTAGGGCTGACCGCTCACTCTTCCGGTCGTGGGCGGGGCGGAGACTCCCTCCTCTGAGTCCTGGAACAGACTCGGCTGGCACTTTGTGGAGCTCACGGGCTGCTCCCAGACTCCCTGGCCATGAGAACCCGCACTCCTGTGAGAAAGAAACAATGCAGTCTCTCTCTCTCTCTCTCTCTCTCTCTCTCTCTCTCTCCAAAAACCTACCTGAATTTCTGTAGTTGGAAAGCTCTGTGGGCGGAGGGCCCCAGCTCTGCTGACTGCGTTGCATCCTTGTATTTAGCCCAGGTTCTCTCCGTAGATTCTCACTCGATGTCAATAGCAGTCTTTCGGTCCACTTTTTCTGTGCACAAAATAAAGTACTAAAGATTTGGGTGGCATTCTGCAAATCGCCCACCCTAGTCCTGATGGCTGCTGCTGGCTCTGGCGCCTAGCTGGGGACCTGCCTTTGGACAGGGAGGAGCGGCCTCAGGCTCCTGGCCGACCCAGGGTGCTTTTCCCCACCTCCCAGGGAAACATCAGGGCCGTGTAGATTGGGCTTGTGCATCCCTGGAAGTCAACCTCCTGCGTTTGAATCTGCTATCCAGTGCTAGAAAACGAATCTGAGTAGGTTGATGCTGCCACAGTTCTGGAGGCTTTGCATTCAAGCAACTTTACAGCCTCATTGTGTTTTTATTACATTGTGCTTTTTGCTCACAAAACATGATGTTAGCAAACCCAAACAAAGGAAAATTTTGAGCTCCCCACAGCCAAAACCAACCATGCCAAATTTCAGGCTCTGAACAAGCCAGTTTATAAATAAACATGCCGTGTTAGCCAAATAAAGAGGAATGTGTTAGAAAAGGCAGTGTGGACTGGTGGAGAAGGTGCTGAGCTACAGGGGGCATCAGGAAGCGGAGCTTTGGTTCCAGGCCCCGCCCCCGAGTCGCTGTGTGACGTGGGCCAAGCCACAGCCTTCTCCAGAAGGTGCTAGACAATGGGTCCATGGTCCTCGGTGGCATTTCAGCAAGCAGCCTCGCCTCGCCTGCTTTTTTCTTTTCTCCTTCTCCTTCTCCTTCTCCTTCTCCTTCTCCTTCTCCTTCTCCTGTCCCGTCCCGCGGGACAGCAACTGGGGCCGAACACCTAGAAGGAGAAATGAAAGGGACAGGAGACACAAGGATGGCAGCAAGACAGGTGCCGATCAAGCTGCGACTTTATTTTTCAACCACACACTTATATATCATCGAGGCAGGGTATCGGGAGGGGGAAGGAGGAGGGGCTTATCTTGTAGCTGCAATGCTAATGCAAGTAGGGGAAAGGTTACAAGGCCTTAAGGCACAAGGTCACACAAGATTGCGTTATCAGTACTATCAGGTCTGGCCTGTCCAGCCCTGTCTCTCAACTAAGAGGTCACATGCTGCGTGGTCCCCGACATATCCCCCTTTCTTATCAATTAAACAGAAATGGCTACCGGTTAGGCCAAGCATGATGAGCGAGCAGTGCCTGTCTTAGGAATCGACCCGGGGCTCCATCACCTCTTACCCGTCATTGGATATCCTTGCCAGTCCCCAAGGACTCCTGTCTTAGGTGGGTGAGGTTCCGGGAAGGTGCCCGTCATTGGCTTACTGCTCATTTTATTGATAGGCCTGGGGCCCTTCCTGGGCTCCCGACTGGGGCAGCAGCAGACCGAAGGGGAGAGTCAGTTGTTGGAGGGACTGTGACCTCACTGGCCAGACTTCACCGGCCGGAGAGAGAGATAACGTTTTCCATGGGATCTTCCATGGCCAGACTTTGGTAATGTATTTGAATTGGTCTGGCTGCTAAATTATCTACTTGTTGTCTGATAAAGGTCATCAGCCTATTGAGGAGACAAGGACCTATAGATAGCACAACAAGCAACCCAACAATGGGGCCTAAAAGCGGTAGCAAATAGGGAAGCAGTCCATTCCATCCAGTCCAAAAGGGATTTTCAGCCATGGCACGTCGACGACGCTCCAGATCTTCTTGAAGTGTCTTGATTTTATTACGAACAATGCCGGACTTGTTAGCATAAAAACAGCATTTTTCCTGTAAAGCCAAGCAAATACCTCCCCGTTCAGCAGTAAGCAAGTCTAAGCCTCTACGATTTTGTAGAACCACTTCCGCTAGGGAATCAATTTGATCTTGAGGGTCCTGAATGGTGGTGGATAGGGTCTGCACATCATTAATAAGTTGTTGGGACAATTCTCTATATTTGTGGACCGCGATTCCTAGTCCTGTGGATCCTGTAACCATAGCTGAGGAAATTCCCAATGTGGCTAATAAAGGAATAAATTGAATAGCTCGTTTTTGTCTCCCTGCAATATAATCAAGGGAGGGGATAGGAACAGGGGTATCTCCATTGATAATCTCTATATCAGGAAAAAGTATAGCATGCATGCAATTACCGGTCCAATTTGTTGGTAAAATGGTATAAGCTAAATTATCCCTACATACAAAAACGGTGGAATTAGGGGCATAAAGAGGGTAGTTTACTGTTACATTATTTGTACAGAAAGGAGCAAGGCCTACATTGATATCGAAGGGATTGTTGTTGGGAGGTTTATAAAGGCAAGTGATATTTTCCCTTGGGACAGGAAGAACAGGAAAGGGCTGCATAGGGGGGTGGCCCAAGAAACTAT